GATCTTTTATAATCTCTATTTTAGCTTTGTCTACCTCGATTCCTCTATCTGATATAACGTGTCCTATAACTATTCCTTGTCGGACCATAAAATGGCATTTTTCCCAATTTAGGACGAGGTTTACTTTTACGCAACGTTCTAATACCATTTCTAAGTTCTGTAGTCATCCTTCGAAACTTTGTCCACATACCGAGAAATCGTCCATAAATACTTCCATGATGTCGTCTATGAAATCTGCGAAGATTGCCATCATGCATCTTTGGAAGGTTGCTGGAGCGTTACAGAGTCCGAACGACATTCGGCGGTAAGCAAAAGTACCATAAGGACAGGTGAATGTAGTCTTTTCTTGGTCATCAGGATGGATGGGAATTTGGAAGAATCCTGAGTAACCATCTAGATAGCAGAAATATGAATGTTTGGCTAATCTTTCCAACATTTGGTCTATGAAGGGTAACGGGAAGTGATCTTTGCGCGTAGCCTTGTTAAGCTTCCTATAATCAATACACATCCTGCTTCCAGTCACGACTCTTTTTGTTATTGATTCGCCTTTTTCGTTTTTAACTACTGTGACTCCTCCTTTCTTCGGTACGACATGAACTGGGCTGACCCATTCACTATCGGAGATCGGATAGATGATTCCTGCATCTAGCAATTTCTTTACTTCATCTCTGACTACAGTGCTCAGGATGGGGTTCAGTCTTCTCTGATGCTCTCGAGAGGTTTTAGAGTCTTCCTCTATTGTAATTCGATGCATACAGATTGAAGGGCTTATACCTTTTAGATCGCTTATGTTATAGCCTAACGCGGTGGGGTACTTCTTTAGGACTTCTAATAGCTTTTCGGTTTCTGGTTGTCCTAAGTCGGCGTTGACTATCACTGGTCTTTTTAGTTCATCGTCTAGAAATTCATATCTGAGGTTTTTGGGTAGTGTTTTGAGTTCTAAAGATGGGTTCTTTGGACCTGGCATATGGTTTGGGGTCAGTGCTAAGCTTTCGCTTAGGCTGTCGTCTTTATACGGTTTACGCCAATTATCGTCTTCAGAAATGTCGGGTATTTGAATCTTTATTATTTCTGAATACGTGGTCTCTTCATTTTTAAGTTCTCTTATGCATTCGTCGATTTCGTCTACTAAATAGCAGGTATCGTCTATTGCTGGTGCTTGTAAGAACTTGGTGAGAATGAACTCTATCTTTTCTTCTCCTACTTCGAATGTTAGCCTTCCTTTCTTCACGTCTATAATAGCTCCAGCTGTAGCTAGGAACGGTATTCCTAGGATAATTGGGGTTACAGTGTCCTCCTTGATGTCCATGATTATGAAGTTGGTTGGAATGTAGAATTGTCCTATGCGTACTGGAACGTTTTCCAGTATTCCGACTGGGTATTTCACTGATCTGTCAGCTAATTGAACGAACATTTTGGTTGGTCTGAGGTCTCCTATATTCAGCTTTTTGCATATAGATAAGGGCATAACACTGATACTGGCTCCTAAATCGCATAGAGCTTTGTCTATTACAAACTTTCCTATGACGCAGGGTATGGAGAAACTACCTGGGTCTTTTAATTTAGGAGGCATGCGATTTTGAATAATAGCGCTACACTCTGCAGTAAGTGTAACTGTTTCATTATCCTCGATTTTTCTCTTATTCGACAGGATTTCTTTGAGAAATTTAGCGTATGACAGCATTTGAGTTATCGCTTCTGTAAAAGGAATAGTAATATTCAGCTGTTTAAGGAGCTCTACAAATTTCTTAAACTGTCCTGAAGTTTTGGAGTTTATTAATCTTTGAGGGTAAGGAATAGGTGGTTTATATGGCGCTGGAGGTGCTTGAGTTTTTTCACTTGCGGTATCCTCCTTCTCGTTGTCTTCCTTCTTCTCTAACTCGGATTCCTTTTCTGCTTGTTCAGTTGGTTTTTGTTGCATGGCTGAGTTTTCGGTCCTCGGATCGATCGGTTCGTCCAATTCTTTTCCACTTCTTAGTATCACAGCATTTGCTTGGCCTTTTGGATTTTGTTCGGGTTGTCCAGGAAATGTGCCAGCAGGTGCGGCAGCAGAGGCTTGTTGTTGAGCCACTTGTGATATCTGTGTTTCTAACATTTTGTTGTGGGTGGCTAAAGCGTCTACTTTTCCTGTCAACTGTTTAATTTGCTCGCTAGTGTGTATGTTTTGATTCAGGAATTCTTTGTTTGTTTGAGCTTGAGTTGCTATGAACTTTTCCATCATCAATTCGAGGTTTGATTTCCTAGGTGCATTCTGAGCAGCTGGTTTTTGATATCCTTGCGGAGCAGTAGGCATTTGCAATGCATTTTCGCTTTTGTAGGAAAAGTTTGGATGATTTCGCCAACCTGGGTTGTAGGTATTTGCGTAGGGATTTCCTTGAGCATAATTTACCTGGTCTGGTGGGATTCCGGCTAGCAATGGGCATTCGGGTGCATTATGAGTGGTGCTTCCGCATAACTCACAATTTGGAGTTACTGCAGCGACAGTTGCAGTGGGGTTAACGGTCAGACTATCGATCTTTTGTGCTAGAGCATCTACTTTAGCATTGAACTTTTCAAGGCTGCTGATCTCGTACATCCCACCTTTCGTTGTGGTTTTCTCTATTGGAGTGCGTTCACCTCCCCATTGGCAATGGTTTTGTGACATGTTTTCTATTAATTGATAGGCTTCATCGTATGGCTTATCCATAAGTGCACCGCCCGCGGCAGCGTCTATTGTCAATCTAGTATTGTATAGAAGCCCATTATAGAAAGTATGGATTGTCACCCAGTCTTCTAGACCGTGGTGAGGACATGTTCTCATCATGTCTTTGAATCGTTCCCATGCTTCGTAAAGAGATTCAGTATCTTTCTGTCGAAATCCGTTGATTTGAGCTCTAAGCATATCAGTTTTGCTTGGCGGAAAATATCTCGCTAAGAAGACGTTCTTCAATTGCTCCCACGTCGTAACGGAGTTGGATGGTAACGATTGTAACCATGTCCACGCTCTGTCTCTAAGAGAGAATGGGAAAAGACGAAGTCTTATCGCGTCTGGAGTTACTCCATTTGCTTTCACTGTGTCTGCGTATTGTACAAACTTCGTTAGATGTTCGTTCGGATCCTCAGTTGCGTTTCCTGAGAATTGGTTTTGTTGTACAGCCGACAGCAATGATGGTTTCAGCTCAAAATCATTTCGGGTAATAGCTGGGGCAGCAATGCTACTTCTAGGCTCCATCTGAGAGGGTGTAGCGTATGCCTTCAGCGGTTTGTTTGGAGGTCCTTCAGCCATCTCTGGTTCTTCTTCTTCTGATTTGGGAATGGGAGTGAGAGGTTCGGGAGTGTTATGTTTGAGTTGTTTGAGTTGGTACTCAATGATTCTACTTCTTAAATGTAAGAAGCGTTCTAGTTCTGCGACTGAAGGTTTTACGATATCGCTTTGCGGGCGATTTCTTGGCATACAATCGACAGCACTAGTAAAGGAAAAATGAAAATTGTTAACCTAGTCTATACGGCGTAACAGAAGGTTACACTATTGACTAAACGGGTCCCCGGCAACGGCGCCAAAAACTTGATCGCGACTTTCTATGTCTAATACAACCTAACTGCAAGTGCACAGTCTATCGCGTAGTAATAATAGATATCGATCCCACAGGGACTCGTAATCAAACTAGTGTTCTCGGGAGTTACTATGTTTAGCTAGGTAGAATATGTTTAAGGGAATAAGATTGTCACTAAAAGGGAACTAAGAATACTATTTAGATTATAATTGATTGAATCGATACGTAATAATTGTGTTCTTCAGGGATTTAATAAGTTACTGGTGTATGAAATAATTTTCAAAGTTTATTTAAGCAGAAAATGGTGATTTGAAGACTCTCGCCTCACAATGGTTATTGACGCTAATCATAATCCTAAGGGCCAAACGTACACTTTCGTATCCCGTTCGGGGTTAAAATTATTTTTTGGAAATCTCTAAGTTCTAATTCATTTTAAAGTGCTTTCGCTGTTATTAAAATAAATGACTGGTGTTTACTATCTGACCTTACCGCAGCTTTCGCTTGTTGGTTCATATCTTAATTAATTTCCCACTTTCGTGGCAAAACTACTTTTAAATAAGTTCTCGCTTTCGTGACGAAGTTTATTCAGTGAATCAATTTTAAACACTCAGACCATAAATTACTTTTTTGAAAAGAAAGTTTTTCAACCAGTTGTTATCAAATCCCATTCGAATTATTACTACATATCGATTACCTAAGTTTAGCTAGACATGGATTTGGGAAAGATAAAACATAAATAAAAATAATAAATAATGATTTGCATTATAATAAAACTGAAATCGATTGAAATGAGAAACCTGTAAATATGCCAATTGGCCTTTGGGCAGATCCTCCACAAATGTTGGCAGGATTCTGATCTCTAATGCCAATTTGATCGTACAGTACAAGTAGAAATTATAGAAGAATGGAAAATGGAATACAGGAAAGGTAAAGAGAAACAAATAAGAATATTGCTGGAAAATATGCTCTGGAAATAAATTCGGCAGCACTTCGTGGTATGAATGCAGCACCCTTTCTGAAGTCCCCTGCTTCCCTTTTTATAAAGGTGGAATCCCAATGGTTATCACTGAAGATGATGGACTTTGAGGCAGATAATTTAGGGAGTCATGGTCCACTCTATGGGAATTGGAACTGATTCTTTAACATGTAATTGGAGTGGGGCGTTTTTGCCTGCATGACGGTCGTCACAAGGTGTGACGGTCGTCACCCGTGTGACGGTCGTCATGAAGCTGTGACAGTCGTCACATCAGCAAAAACAGCTTCCTGCGCTTTTCGTTGTGTTTTCACTCCTTTTTCGTCCATATTTCATCTGAGATTGCTTCTTTTCTTCATGTTGCCTTGTTTAGACGTGATCGTTGAATACCTGCAAAACATCAGACAAATACACGGAAATAACCCGAAATCGGATCGAAAACGGTTAGACTTTAGTTGAATTATGCATAAAAATATCTGTATGATTTCGTGTTATCACCTTTCATCAATTATATCCCATAAAGGCTTGTAACTAAATAATAATAAATAAAAACTCAGTGAGTAAAGTTGAATAAAAAGGAGAACAATGAGGAAAGTTGAATAAAAAAAGACCAAATTTGAAGAGTAAACAAAAAAAAGACGAGTACATAGAACATATCAGATTTGAACAAAATAAAGACAAGAGTACATCATACATGGACTAGATTTTCTCTAAAAATGAAACAAAATTAGAGTTGTAGTTAATACCTTCTTTGAACACCATTGAAGTTAGCTTGAATTTTCTCTTTAGCTTTGTCCATTTCCTCATAAATTAATCCCATCGCTGGAATTTCACCAAAATCCACTAAGCGAAGTACTTTAATCAGAGGATAAGCACGATTACAACAAATAACAATATTTTTCCAAAACTCTTTATCCATAACCACTTCTTCAATTTGCTTTCCTTCACTTGTTTTTGCAAACTTGGTTATTGTACATTCATAAGATGTGAACATTCTTATCAATCCTCCTTTATTCTCCATGAGACACCCTAAAGTTAAATAAGATGTCGCAAATCGAGTAATTATCGGTCTCACCAAATCTTTTTCTTTTGTATGAATCTGTAATAAAGAAATAAGGGAAGGCTTTGAGTAAATGAATTGAGTGATTTTATTACCTTTTGAAATTGTTTCATTGTAAAATTTTATATTTTTTTTTCAAAATCCTCTAACATGAGATCAATGCAGTGGGCTGCACATGAGGTCCAATAGAGCTTCTTTTGCATTTCCATTAACAATGTACCTGCTGCTTTATAGTTTGCAGCATTGTCAGTGACAATTTGCACAATATTTTTTTCTCCCACTTCTTCCACAATGCCATCAATCATCTTTAAAATTGCATCAACAATTTTTGTAATGTGTGAGGCATCAATGGACTTTAAAAAGACGGTACCTTTAGAGTTGTTCACTAAGAAATTCAATATTGTTCTTCTTCTTTTGTCTGTCCATCCATCACTCATTATAGTGCATCCTGTATTCTCCCAAATAAGCTTGTGTTCTTCAATGAATTTCTTTTTCTCCTCCATTTTATGCTTTAAGTACTTTGTTCTGATTTCATGATATAAAGGTGGTTTGAATCCAAGACCATGTCTTGAAACCATCTCCAACATTTTTTGAAATTCTTCACTTTTTGCCACATTAAAAGCTATGGCATTGTTGTAGAAGAACGAAGCAATTTCAAGACATGCTTCTTCTCTCAAATTCTTTTTCATGATGAAGTTGATGGTGGATTGAGTATTCATGTCCTTCTTCTTAATTTTTTTTGCAGGCGCAGCATTATCATCATCCTCCAATGACCTCTTTCCTGTTACTATTTCATTTGCATCCTCTATTTTTTTTAGTAAATTGTTTTGCAGAGACTTTAAAATCTCCCACATTTGGACTTTAACATCATCAGGTACAGATCTACACACACCAACGTTTATCTGTGTACAAGCTAAATGATGTTTCAGCATGTACACTCCTCTGATTACTTCCTTTGAACAATAATTGCATATGATTTTTCGTGTTCCTCCATCAACATAGACACCATGCTTCCAAGCAATATCTGTTCTGCTTCCAGGAGCATTTTTTTGAACTTTTGGGGGTGTAGATGAGGATGCATGAACTGGAATTGATGAAGACATTGGAAAAAAGTGTGGTAAAATAGAAGGTATGATGAGAGATCGTATAACTAAAGAAGAAAAGAAGTTGATGATTGAATATAAATCGTATGATTGATTTATAGATGGAATTGAAGAAGAATAAATGATATCATTTAATAAATTGATATTTTTCAGATTGATTTTTAATTTCCCCCAAATAATCAGTCTTGTAGATAACAACAAATTCTGACTTTTAATGATGAAAAACGACTAATTTAATGTGAAACGACCGGTAGAAGAAGCTGAAGGGGTCACCTTCTTCAATGGGCATTGGACCGGGTCAGGTCAAAACAGGTTGGACAAATTTTTCACTGCGAAATAGATCTTCGCTTTCACGTTTTTACGATCTTACACTGCGCTCCTACCGCGCCGCCTTCTCCAGCGATCTTTGCTGCGCTCCGCTGCGGAGCATGGTGAAAACTCATAAGATCTTAAGATCTCACAATTTAAATTTAGATTTTGACAACCATGATGTCAAATTCGTTCAAAAGGTCTCCATGATTTTCGCCACTTCCATTTGAATTCTAGTCGCCAGTGATAATGGCTATCTTCCTCCTGTAATTGTTAGTTTTTTCATTAGCAATTGCCTAATGGGTACCATCTGCATTGATAGAAATGTGCTCTTGAAGCTTCATTTACTCATGAGTTACACATTGGCATTGGGATAATGGACCAAATATATTTATGGTGCTGTATTCTCAATATGGAAAATAATCATGAGTTACACATTAACATTGGGATAATGGACCAAATATATTTATGGTGCTGTATTCTCAATATGGAAAATAATATGACTATATTTATGATACTGTTTTCTCAATATGGACCAAATATCTCATAGAACTTACATAATGCATGACTGCAATTAGACTGAAAACAATATCTCATAGAAGTTTCATCATGCATGACTGCAATATAGATTTATTTAGAATTCAGCTGCAACTAAATATCAATTGGCGCAACTAAATATATTTAGAATTTGGTGTAGTCCAAAGCCAATGGGTGCAATGACACAAACGGTAAATGAGACTGTCTTTCATGAAATGGATATGGGCTTGAATCTTATCCAATGTGAAATATTTTTTTTATAAACTAGCATTTTATTCAGTTACCCGTTACGCGTGACACCAACCATCATTTACTAAATATTTATCAATTTATTAATTATTTATTAATATTAATTAAATAAGAAAAATATTAAAATACGAAAAAAATTAAAATTAGAAAAATAAATACAAAAAAAGTTTTTAAAAAAACCCATGTGAAATAAAAATAATAATAAATAAAATGACATTTGAACTGTCACGTCAGTAAATATCAAGATTCTATGTTGACCGGAAGGTGTCATATAAACAAATCTAAACATTAGATGGGGAATAAAAAAAATTATAAGGGGTAAACAACAACTCACTAACATTACAGAGGTATCATATATCTAACCCAACATTCAACAATGGAAGAAAATAGTGAAAAATCTAATGGAGATCATGAACTTCTCTCTACTCGTCATGCAATTAACACCATATTTAAAGTAATCTCTCATATATCTTGGATTTCCAACAACAATTTTAAGATTTGACTATGGTGATTTCTCTCCAAACCCTTGTTCGCATTATGCTCTCACTTTGCATCTTGTCCCAAAATAATATGTAATCACCTCTCTTAGATTTTCTAATCCTTTTTTATTAAAATCTAATTTAATCTTCTAATAATTACATTTTGGTTCCAACTTATTATAACTTTTACCATTTATCTTATTTTTCTCATAGTTTCTATTTTCCACCCAAAATCTCTATTTTTTATTTTAATTTTAATATTATTTAATTATCGAGATATTTAATTAAATAACAACATAGGGTTCTGACATGTTATGTTCAAGGAGCGTCTAGAGATGCATCTCCAAAATTTTTTCACATTAAATAAGACTTCTATTGACTTATAGTGCGTCGGAAAATAAATCTCAAAATTCTAATAATATTTTTGTATTTTCACGTAGTATCCTAATTATAATGAATGAGTGTGTTAATTTAATTGAAAATTTTCTTTATATATATATATATATATATATATATATATATATATATATATATATATATATATATATATATATATATATATATATATATATATATATATATATATATATATATATATATATATATATATATATATATATATATATATATATATATATATATATATATATATATATATATATATATATATATATATATATATATATATATATATATATATAATACATTACAAAATTCTCCAATTAAATTAACACACTTATTCATTATACATGATTCATATCATAAAAAATACATGCATCCCTGAACTCCACTAATTCATAATTAGTTATACATGATAATATTATAAGAAATACATAGTTTTAGTTTTTCCTTTTTATTTGCAAAAAGATATTCCTAAATACCAATTTTTCTTCAATTTTAAAGTGTTTTTTCAGGTTAAATAATATACAAAGTCTTTTTATATTTTTAAGTTTTAGAATAAAACAAATCTTACTTAATAAAAATGATTTATTGCTATATACTTTTTTATACTATCAATAAAATTATAATAGTTAAATAATGAGAACAATTTAACTTTAATTAAATTTAATAAATATTTTTAATTAAAAAGAATTAATGATTTTATTATTTTATTATATTATATTATTAAATTATTTTTTATTTGATAAAAATAAATATATTAATAAAAATATGCAAAAATATATATGAAAAATTAAAGATAGAATTAAAATATATTAAATTTATATATAAATTTTATAATGAAAACTTGAGATATATGAAATAATAACATTGGAATTTTGAATTGAGTTATATTAATTCAAAAATAATAAAAAACAGTTTATTTTCTAATATTCTATAATAAAATTGTGATGATATTATGAATTTTATCTCATTGATTCTCCTCCAATATTTACTAACTTGAAAATTATCAATACTATTTTAAAATTTATTATATTAAATATTATTCAAAAATATTAAATATTGCATCTTTTTTATTTTATGAGCTGACATGTATATAATTATTCTATTCAAAAATTTCTAATATAATAACATAGTAGATTGAAGGATAAGATAGATTTTGTTAAAATATTAAAGGTATAAACAAAAGAAAAACTGACAACATGAAAGTTGCAAATTCAAAAACTATTTCAAAACTCTTTTGAAAAATAGGCAAAAGCTAATAAGAAAAATTATAAGCTGAAAATTAAATGGCAGTAATAAAATAAACAACTTTTTATTAATATGGGCTGAAAAACTAGAAACTAAAAAATTAAAAACTATTTTTGTACCAAACAAATTCATCACTACAAATAAAATTTTGTCATTAATTATTAAAAATATTAAAAAACTGAAAATTTATATTACTAAGAAATATAAACGAAAATAATTAGCTTTGTACCAAAAATAAAACAAAATTGCGTTAGCTTGGAGACTTATCAGACTTGTACCAAAAATAAAAGAGAATCGATTATTACTAAGGAATAGTAATAACATATATTTATTATAACAAAAAATAAAAATAAAAAATAAAAAATTTCACGATGGCTGGCGTGTTTTGCACCTGAACACGAGCACACCGAAACCCAGCCCGGACGTGTTGCCGCAAACTAACCGTAATGGATAATCGTGGATAGTTCCGTAACTTTGTAAGTGGAGCGAGAGATTGGTTCTGGTTTGGGTATTTTTGGTCAAAAGACGGAAGCACGCAACTCAACTCATCCTCCCACAATAAACGTTTTCCAAAAGTCGGTGGCGTGATTCCAAACCCTAATCGCCACCGTCTAGATTCAGTTATAGGGTTTGTTTCTTCCAATTTCAGCTCAATTCTTCAATTATTCCTAGTCTCATCGGTTAATTTTCTAATTGATTTCACTCCCAATTTTGTTAACTCTGATTGATTTTCATTTTGATTTGATCAGAATCATAGAATCATTGCTCTTGCGGCGTCAGTATGCGGTTAGCTTCGTTGTAGATAGATTATCTCGTTGTTGATTCGGTTTGTGCTCAATTGTTAGGTTCGAAGACATGGATTTGGTAGCAACTGTCAAGGTATTTGATATGTGCTTTTACTTTTTTTCTTTCTACATGTTTATATTTATGCTTCAATTTCATATAGAAAGATTACCTATGATGAAGCACTGTCTCCCTGAATATGACACGATACCGACAAGACAACACCGGTAATAATTTGAAAAGTACAGAAATTAAGCTTAACCAATCAGCCAATATGTTTCTTTATGAATTTCATTAATTTTCCATGTGTTGTAATTTGAGGTTGTTCTACTTTTTATTCATTGAGATTTTGATTCAGAAAATGAGTTCTATGCGAGGTTCGAAGTTGCTCTTGGAATTCCTTGTTTTTACTGAACATGTGCATTTTTGCCTGGTTGGGCTTTAGGTGTTATTTAGTTTTAGTTAACAAGGAAGAAGCATTGTACCATGGTGTTCAGCATGTGTATGTGCTTTTACCATATCACTATTTTTTACATTACTTATTGTTTGTGTAAGTATTGGACACTTTGTGAACAACACAATTTCGTAGTTGGATTATTTTTAAGTTTAATTAATTATGATTATGATTCTATTATAAAAATGAAATGAAATATAAATACATAGCTAGTATATAGTTACACTTGAATTTCTATTGCATTACTTCTGCAAACTCTGGTATATTGGAATTCTAGCTCTTTTTGTTCTTATTAGGTTTTATCTTTGTGTTAAGTTTTTATTCACTGAAATATTTATAAATGGGTATGGTATTATGCTCGTGATATCTCTTGTAGGACAAATTAACATATTTTCGTATAAAAGAGCTCAAAGATGTGCTGACACAGTTAGGACTTTCAAAGCAGGGAAAGAAGCAGGTGGGACAATTAAACTATTACCAAATCTACCATTAGTTATTTGTTTGGCTTTTTCCCCCCCCCCACAAAACTTGAATGCTAGTAACTTCAATTTGAAGTCCATGTGTTATTTCCTTTTTAGTCCTGAATTTAATATGATGTCTTGGAGTTTTGGGATGATGTGGTAATACCAGTGCTTCTTCTCTTGTAGGACCTCGTTGATCGGATATTATCCATTCTCTCAGATGAGCAAGGTAAAATTATACATGGATTCTTTGGGTCCAATTCTATCTTTATACTTCTCTACTATGCTTTTGTCTGGGTTGTCATAATAATACCTAGGTATTGGAAGTTTCAACAATAACTGCATATGAAAATGTAGATTCTATTCTACAAATCATTTACTTAATTGGCTATATCTGCATTGTTTTGTATATCTCTTCCAATACCCCATTGGAATTAGCGATTATAGTTATTATGGTAATTGTCCTTTGTGCAACTTTAGATTTAGGCCAAGGCCCTATTCCCCCACAATGATAAACACTCCTCGTTTATCAGTTAAATTCAAGCTGTTTGCATTTATCCAGGCTTCTGTTTGTACCCAAGTTTCTTTTATTTCCCATTTCTCTTTTATTTGTTTCATAGTCTGATATTTTGAAATGGTGGTTTATTTCGTCCGTTATTTGATCGTATAGCGTTTGTTGTATTGTGCATGTAATTTATTTTGTGATCTTATTACTTGGGATCAGTTTCCTCGTGTTCCTTCATCCTCTCTCCTGTAAACTAAGAAACCTGTTACTTTTGTTCCAGCTTCCAAAATGTGGGCTAAGAAGAATGCTGTTGGGAAAGAGCAGGTGGCAAAATTAGTGGACGACACATATAGGTCAGTTGTAGCACCTAGGAGCAATGGCTGATATCATTTTCTTGCTTTAAGCTTAAGCATGCTTTGAATGCATGTCAAAACTTAAAATGCTTGGATGTATTCACAGAAATGATGTGGTACTTTGTTATTAGGTCTGGTTTGGTTTGATTATGCTGCTTCTAGTGTTTTATTATCCCTTCGCTTGGCTTTGCTATTATTTTATTGGAGCTTTTGTGTTTTGCATTTACCCAGGAAAATGCAGATATCAGGGGCCACTGATCTAGCATCAAAGGGTCAGGTTGTGTCAGATAGTAGTAATGTGAAGGTTAAACCTGAAGTTGATGATTCCCTTCAAATTCAGTCAGCTGCAACTACAACTACAACTACAACTACAAAGATTCGCTGTCTCTGTGGAAGTACATTGGAAACAGAAGATTTGATCAAGGTGAAACATTTAATATGTTTCTTCATTCTCTATGGTCCATAAAATTGTATGCAACTGTACATGCATATATTTCTTTATTGATAATAATCATCTAACTACTCTGTCCATTTTTTTGTGATCACACGTAATTTTCATTAAGACCTCATGCATGTTGCATAGATTTGATAACTTCGGTACTTCAATTTTTCTCATTTTAATGCAGTGTGATGATGCAAGATGCCAAGTGTGGCAACACATCAGTTGCGTTATTATTCCAGAGAAACCCATGGAAGGCATCCCACCAGTTCCTGATAAATTTTATTGTGAACTATGTCGACTCAGTCGTGCAGACCCGTATGTCATGTTCCCTTCTTATTTTAGTTAATAGCTGTGTCATGGAGTGAATGACAATGATTTGTTTGAATTTTTTTTTATCTTCATGAATTAGTGCTAATTTTTTATTTCTAAATTTGCATTTGTGTGAGGTCGTGATTGTAGTATTTTCAGTTGGTGGTTTAATGAACTGGTCTTTCTTTGTAGTTGTGACTTGGTACTGAGTTGCATTGTTATAATTTTATTATTGACATACTGATATTGTTTCCCCAATGTGACCCATTAATAGCTGTAGAGGCTGCGAGTATGTTTATGTTTACTCTTCTACAATAATGTTGTTATTTCTCAATCTGCAAGTTATGTCTACAGAATACAGATACTTATTATTTAGCATTTTTATGAAGGTTTTCTGTCCCTTATATTATTTAGCATTTTTTTACTTTGTTGTCACTAATTTCGTGCTTTCTGCCGTTCTCTCTCGTATAGGTTTTGGGTTTCAGTAACTCATCCTTTGTTACCTGTAAAGTTGACCACAACCAGTATTCCAACTGATGGGTGAGTACATGGTGTGAATATATTGAACATCAGACATAGTTGGTGAAGTTGTGTTCATTCGCATTGTAGTAAAGTAAATGTCTTGTTTAACATACAGCATCATTCTGGCTTGAATACTAGAATTTGGGGGTTGGGACGTTGCTATTAGTTACCAGGCATGGGTGCAATGCATGTTGTTTGCTTGGCTGTAAACTTTTGATTACTTTCTATAAGGGCTGTATAGACAGAGGCATGTATTTAATTCTATTTGCAGAGACTGTAATGGTATTTCCATTTTCTACTTATGTTTTGTTGATTGAAATTCAATGGTGGCTTTTGAGGTGGAATTACCCCTGTACAAAAAACTTTCAAAAGTGAAGATTTCTTTCATTTCTTTCAGATTTATGTGCTTTCTTACATTTATTCAACAGGACTAGGCTAGTAAACTTCACTGTCTCCCCAAGACACAATCAAATGACTTTGAACAATTGTCCGCGTCTATTTTATAAACTAATTATCAATGCAGTTTTCTGCTTGTTGGCCTAAACCATATTTCTGTTTGAATTGTTCAGTTCCAACCCAGTGCAGTGCGTGGAGAGAACATTTCAATTCACAAGAGCAGACAAAGACTTGGTATCAAAACAAGAGTTTGATGTTGAGGTTGGTTTGGATTTTCAGTGCTCGTAATTCATATATTTCTTGTTTGGTTTGCTTATATTGAAAAATGATGTTTAGGCTTGGTGTATGCTTCTGAACGACAAGGTTCCATTCAGGATGCAATGGCCACAGTATACAGACCTAGCGGTCAATGGTACATTAATATTTTTCAATATCTCCTTACAGGTTTTTTGTATCATGTTGTAGTTTTAGTTTTAATTTTCCTTACATGCGATGCAATAAAATGCCATATGTTTTCTTGTTATTGCATCGGAATTTGTTCTCATTAACTCTGACTATACAGGCCTTCCTGTTCGAACAACTAACAGACCCGGTTCACAATTGCTCGGGGCTAATGGTCGTGATGATGGTCCAATTGTGAGTTGTCATTACTATTTAATTGTATAAGTATATAACTATTCTGACTATGGACTCCTTCACTATTTATGTTTTATTTATTGTTAATTTTTAATTGACTTATTATGTTTTTCCTTTCAGATCACGGCACATACAAAAGATGGAATTAATAAAATTTCCTTAACAGTATGTGATGCTCGCATTTTTTGTTTAGGTGTTCGCATTGTAAGAAGGCGCAATTTGCAACAGGTAGATTGTATTCTAAACTTCATTCTGAGAAATATTTTTTGAATGACTATTGATACCCTGTGGTACTGAATATTAAATTTGATATTCTAAGTGTTCCCTGTATAGTGTCAGCCGATATTGATCCCAATTGGTTGGTTTCCTTAAATTTGATATTTAGAAATGTACTATGCTTTTGTGGATGTGATTATCTTCTTTGTTAATTTTAAATGACACCCGACTGTAAGAAAACACAACCGTGTATGACCTTAAGTGTTGCTGCTATTCCAACATTATATACTTAGATTTTTTCTGGTTGTATTTTGTTTACCATTTGGGTTTACGTTGTTAGCTCGCAAGATTTTTCTGGATGTTTAAATATCACATCAACTAGAGGTATGGTTAAGGTAGCCCTTATATAACTGGACAATTCTCACCTATGAAACTAGCTTTTGCAGTTGAGTTAGGTTAAAAGCCCAATGTCTAAGTTTGTATTGGTATCTATCATAGATCTGTTACTGGTTGAGTTATTCTACTCACTGTTTTCCAAGTTCTAAATGTCCAGTCTTCGGCGCTAGGGGGTATATTATGATACCACGTTGACTAAAGATATGGCTGAAGTTGTCCTTGTACGGTTTGGATGATTCTCGTCCTCCAAGCTAGAGTTTGAAGTCGAGTTAGGCCTAAAATCCAAATTCCAAGCCTTAACATTTTAACTTATGTTTTTTTCACATAATAATCTGTTGTAAGTAGTTTTATATACAACTACTTCCTTTGCATTCATGCCATACATTTGTCGTTAAATAGTTGAGTCTCTGTTGTCTAGATCCTAAACTTAATTCCAAAGGAGTCTGACGGTGAGCATTTTGAAGATGCTCTTGCACGCGTTTGTCGTTGTGTTGGGGGTGGAAATGCAGCTGACAATGCTGACAGTGACAGTGATTTGGAAGTGGTTTCAGATACTTTTGGCATTAACCTTCGTTGTCCGGTATGGCTTTTGTGTCTTGCATTATATTTGTAAGTTTGCTATAAATAAAGTCCTTCTAATCAGTTTTATCATTACCATTTACAGATGAGTGGTTCAAGAATGAAGATTGCTGGAAGATTCAAACCCTGCATTCACATGGGTTGTTTTGATCTTGAAGTTTTTGTAGAAATGAATCAACGCTCAAGAAAAGTAGGATTGTAACAAATGACACAATTTATGTGATCCCCTCCATTGTGATTTTTTTGTCTGATGTATAATTGAATTGTTTCTGCAGTGGCAATGCCCTATATGTCTCAAAAACTATGCATTGGAGAATATCATCATTGATCCTTATTTCAATCGCATCACTTCTTTGGTAATTTCTTAATAAACCATTTCTATGCTCATAAGTCTTAAATTTGAAAAATAAAGGTTGTCATTTATTTGGTTTTCTGGTACAGATGATTAATTGCGGTGAAGATGTTACAGAGGTTGAGGTGAAGCCTGATGGCTCTTGGCGTGTTAAGACAAAGAGTGAAAGTGAACGTCTGGATTTAGGGAATCTTGGCCGATGGCACTCTCCTAATGGATCCCTCTGTGCTTCTACCGATGAAGATATCAAAAGAGTAGAAACATTGAAGCAAGTAAAACAGGAAGGTTTTTCAGACGGACCTGCTGGTTTAAAACTTGGCATTAGGAAGAATCGCAATGGAATTTGGGAAGTCAGTAAGCCTGAGGGCACAAACACCTCTTCTGGTCATAAATTAAAAGAGGTTTTTGGAAATCCTGAGCATGTTGTTATTCCAATGAGTAGCAGTGGCACCATAAGTGTCCGGGATGGTGATGATCCCAGTGTTAACCAGGGCGGCGGCGGGAATATTGATTATTCTCCTACCAATGGAATTGAGATGGATTCTGTGTCTCTCAATAATGTTGATTTAGCTAGTGGATATACTGCACATAACACTTCAGCTCAGATGGGTGGTGCGGAAGTAATTATTCTTAGCGATTCCGAAGAGGACGATATATTGGTGCCTCCTCCTGCAATTGCAACTAACAACAACATAATTGATACTGCGGGTGGTTACTCCATGCCACCACCTGGAATTGTTGACCCATATGCTGAAGATCAGAATCTCGGTGGAAATTCATGCTTGGGCCTTTTTCCTAATGAAGATGATTTTGGGATGTCTTCCTTGTGGTCATTGCCATCTGCAACTCAGACTGGTCCAGGATTCCAATTATTTGGTTCTGATGCAGATGTCTCTGATGCGTTGGTCCATTTGCAGCATGGTCCTATTAATGGCACCTCATCACTGAATAATTATGCATTGGCTCCCGAAACTGCTTTGGGATCTAGTAGCCTATTACAAGATTCTTCTGCTGGTCGGTCAGATGCTGACTTAAACGGTGGTTTGGTTGACAACCCATTGGCATTTGCTGGAGATGATCCCTCACTTCAGATTTTTCTCCCCACAAGACCAGGCGAGTCATCTGTGCAGAATGAATTGAGAGATCAAGGAAATGTCTCCAATGGTGTCTGCACTGAAGATTGGATATCCCTTAGTCTTGGAGGTGGTGCTGCCGGCAGTAACGGCGACGCTTCAACTCAAAATGGATCAAATTCTAGACATCAAGTCCCAGCCAGAGATAGCGGCACTAATACTTTAGCTGATACTGGTTTGTTGCACTCTGACCCTTCTAATTCATAAATATTTTTTACCAGCTTGCATTTGTAGTCCATTTCTTATTACTAATGTGTGAGTTTGGTCCTTAAATTAAAAGTGGATTATGATTACTTAACATGTCTCCAAGCAACCAAAATCTTTGTTACTAAAATACACATTTTCTTATCTTGCTTAGAAATCACTATTTATAATTCAATTAAGAGAGTGTAAATAGTTTGTTTTTTTTCATTAAATACAAGCTTTATTACTCTACTCATTACAATTTCTCTTCATTAAATCGGGTGGTTTCTAACAACTTAATAAATATGAAATCAATGTTTATAAAATGGCATAAGATTTTTACTCTTTCATGGGGCCATCAATTAAGGCCCGTTGTATGGAGAGTTTATGTGAGAAATAATAGGAGGTAATGAGGTGGTAGAGAGAGAAGGGAAACAGTAGTGAGTGAGTGGAATTACGAAAGGCATAAAAAGTTGTTTTCTTTTTGTAGGCAGAGAAATCCGTATTCTCCGAGGAGCACAGCTCTGTGGGTAGTCAGGGAGAGTATTCCCTTCTACTTTTTCCATCTTTTCATCAATACCATACGAACATTTCGAATATTTTCCACTAAATCTATACTGTTTCATTACTTGCTTTATCATTTGCCACAAAATGTAAATTCAAATTAAATATTAACATAAAAAATGTTAGATCAGATCCAGGAGAGTCAAGTTTTTCTTATATATAGGAAATGCAGGTGTATCTGAAATAAAATAGTTTCAAGAAAGATATTTTGAGTTGCCTGTGTGACTAGGAGAGTTTCGGCTCAGCAGATGGAGTTACCTTTGTGTGAGTAGGTCACAAGTTTGAGCTATAGAATTATTCTGTTTCAAATACAAGATAAGACTGTGTGCATTAGATTCGTGATGTATTGTATTTTTCACAAGATCCTGCCTTAGTGGGATTTTTATAATTCCAAGTTGTAATTTATTTTTCATTATATTGGTTTTCAAATTAGGATTTGAAAACTGATCCAATTCCAATAACTGTTTATGGTTTAGGTTGTTTTGTTGTGGAAGTTTAGTATAATCAGCATTTTCAGAACAAGTTTATTTTAGAGGGTGTAAGAAAGATGGTGGTTTTTTTTTTTTTTTGCATTGAGCACTGCTATGCAAATGGTAAGAAGATAGAAACCTTAGATTTTGTGGTGGATGTGTCAAAGGCATTCCATGCGACTGTGTTAGTCTTCCAAATCATATGAATCTTAGTCCATGTTTGGTTCCACGTTTGGAGCATCTAGAGTTGATTTTGGATGTGTAAAATTGATTTTGACATGTTTGGTTGTTATTTAGTAGAATTGGTTTGACCTCCAGAATTGATTCTAATTGAAAGTTAGGATTTGTAGCTTTTGAGTCCGAATGCGATTTTTACACTCAAATTTATTGTTTAACTCACTTTTATGTCAATATATTCAAACATAAATCACTTTACACGTTCAACTCACTTTTATGTCAATATATTCAAACATAAATCACTTTACGTTCAACTCACTTTTAATAAAAATCAATTTTACAAAATCAACTCGAAATCAATAATTTTCACCACTGAACCAAACACATGCTAAGTTTGTTAAAAAGTGGTTCATCCTACTATCAATGTTGTTAAATATCGGCCATGGCGGATTTTAGGCTCTCTGCCATGGTCAAATATGTACAGGACGATGGTGCCATATGTCGGGCCTTGTTGCGGGATTTTGCCTCAGCGATGGTCTACCCACTATTAACCAAATGAACCAAATGCCCACCCATATTTTGCTTACTTATAAAGTATAAATGACTATTTTGATATCTTGAAAAATGTAGAGGATGCTAACACCCTTTTTGTTCTTGATCAGATAGTTGCATTTTTATCTATGTTTGGCAGTTTTTCTTGATTAATTAATCATTTCTCTTTGTGCAGCTTCTTTGCTTCTTGGTATTAATGATGTAAGATCTGACAAAGTAAGTAGACAAAGGTCGGGTAGCCCTTTCACATTTCCTCGCCAAAAACGTTCTGTAAGGCCCCGCCTGTACCTTTCTATTGATGATTCAGATTCGGAATAAAGGTCAGAATTCGTGTCTCAAGAACTTTAGGGGCTCTTAGCTCCAGATATTGTATTTAGAAATCGAAGGAAGTTGGAGGCATTTTTGGTCCTCGTAAAGTGATAGCTGTGTTAAGGATCTCTGGTGGAATGGCTACAAATTGGCCCTAACACCTGCACCTGCCCCCCTTTGGCAATGATATTGGCTGCATAATTTCTCAATGTTGTGGTCAAGCTATTATTCCTTCAATTTTCAGTTATCTACCGAGGGTATAGTGCTGGTTTACTGTATAGTTGGTTATTCAAATTGGTAGTTTTAAACTTTCTAATTTGATGGGTGGAGTTTCCCATTAGGAATATTTTATCTGCATTTTTTGGCTCTGCTGAGAGCAAATAACCTGTAAATGTTTAGCCCTCGGATTCAATAGTGAATTTAAAAAGCTTTTCTATGCCACTTTTCCCGACTTTGTGCCCATTTTTACATCTGGGTTTAAATATTTATTTGTAAATAAACTAGTCAAAAACTGCGTCGAGGATGGACACTTCCTGTCTAATAGTTTTACAAGATAGCCCTTTAGATGTTTGGGATCTGACTACTACTGTTATCTAAACGAACTATTTCAATGTTCTGTCTGGTTGATGAAGGAATGAAAATTGCCAGCAAATGTGTGTAACTTCTAAATATTTTAACGAGATGCTGGTGTATCATTCATGGTTTGTTGAAGGTATAAGTTATTCATAGAAAATGATTTAATTATAAAATGCCGTGATTTATATCAAATCAGTTGTTAGTCATTGTTGTATTTTTCTCAAGTTATAAGAAATCAGCAATAAAATAGGGAATTTGATCTAATGTAAAAAAAATGGAGGTATTATAAGAAAAATGTTAAAAATGCAATTTATGATTTATACCTAAGACCAACTCCATGCATACCCTTAAAAAGGAAATACATATTTTATTTATTTGAGTGTTTTTTTAAGGGAATGATGAGAAGATAAAATTTATGATTATTATATTTTGAATTTTTATAATATATTATAAAATATTAAAAAAATTGAAGAGTTTATCTAAGTCTTTTATTTTATTTTTTATTTTATTTTTTTATTTTAAATTTTCCAATATATTTTTTGATTTCATATGAGAGATTTCTTATCTTATTCTATAGGGTGAAAAAACACCCAAAAATTTAAAATGACTCAGATTTTAGAGATGCACTCCGAACGCATTTTTGTTTTAAGCCAAAATGTTACAACTCATCTAAAGATGTATATTCAAAATACGCCAAAACACACTCCACGCATCTCATTGACTTACACCAACATATTTTGTAAACACGAATTCGAAGATGCTTTTTTAAAATATTTTAAAACACACTCCATGTATCCCTCTCTAAAAGGTCCATTTTAAACTTTATTAATCTGAAGATGCATCTCTTTTAAGCTTTATGGAGATGCATCTTCGTAATCATTCAAAACAATGGAAGTTAAGTTAGTTTTATGGTTACTTAGATGAAAATGACGATTTATAAATGTTAAGACCCAAGTTATGTGATGAACATTAAACTATACAACTGATGTGCAAAATATGACATAAATCCAGAGTCAAAATAAATCATCATGACATACGCGATAAAGTCAAAATATACAATGAAGTCGAAATGATTAAAAATCAATACAACCGAACATAAATGCGAACTACAAATACTATCAACTACTGCGTATGCTAGAGTCGAGCTCCTTGGACTTCACGACCCCCTCTGTCCCCCGTGCTCTGATGCTGTCTCTGGTACATCAGTGCCTTCGTCATAATGGCAACTAGGATCTCCCTCACCTCATAACCATCAGGAAATATATCTCTGTCAACACCTGCCTGCACAATCTCCACAATATGATGACATCTAGGAAACACGTCATGTGCATGATCTAACCTAGTCTGCTCGTCCTCTAGTATCTCCAGATGAGGTATTGGTGGATCTCCTAAAGCAGCTTGTACTATATATGGATGTGACATCCTAAAGAATCATCTGATGTACCCGACTACATAACTCTAGTCGCTCCCAGCTATCGTAATCCATGCCTTCTCCGATATCAGATGACTAAGATAATCATCAAACGTGTCATCTATATCTCTACGTGTCATAGCGGGAGGAGCAAAGACAACAGGGTGTTTGGGAATAGTCTAGGTGTAGCTAAACTATCATATGACGCTCTCAAAAAGATGAGGAAATGTCAGATGTGAACCGCAAGCCAACCATCTTGAATATAAAAGTATATCGTCAAATGGTCGCGTTTCACGATGATTGACATAGGTGTTAAAGTGCATATCCTCTACTATCAAGCGGTCAAGATACGCTCGAAACGGATCTGACGCCTGGTTCCCTCAGAGTGGTGAAAATGCAGAAGCACACGGTATATCCTTAGTATAGGTTGGTACACACGATCAACCGGAGATGCGTGGGAAGTGCTGGAGGATTCAAGTCTGAAAAGTGTTGGAACACACAAGTTATTAGTAAGGGAGTTGCAAAAATGTAATGAAAATTACACATAAACATTAAAAGATCAATAAATATTATCATCAAAAGTGTTATGTGTAATACCCCAATTTTTAATTGGAATATTTTAATTAATTTATTTAATTGAGAATATTCATTTGCGGTGATTTTCGGTGTTTAGTGGAATTTTGAGAAATTGTGCATTTTTGGGTTATTTATTTTGAATAATAGTATATAATATGAATTTATTAATATTATTATGAATTAAAATAAATATAAGTGAAAGAATGGTAATTTGGGCATTAAGAGAAGTTAGTGAGGGTATTAAGGAAAAAACCCATTTTTGAGGCCCTAGGTTTGACAAAAAGGGAATTCTGAAGAGGATTAGGATTCATTTTTGCTAACCGTGAAAAGTATTGAGGCCAGAGCTCCGAGGAGAAGTTTGGAGGCAGAAGTTCCGAGAGATTCCCTGAAAGATTTGTGAGGGCTTTGAATCGACGACTAAGGTATGAGGAGTATAGCTTTTCATGATTTTCCATGTGTAACTGTCGATGTAATTATGGTTGATTTAAGGTTTATGGATTTTGAGGGTAGAGATGAGAAATAATGATCTTTGGCCTTCGTGGCCTAAACCTATTATAGTTGATCTAACCGTGGATTCGTTGGGGAAAAAGGGAAACCTAGGCCTTCGTGGCCAAAACCTTGAATTGTTTTATGTCTGACTCTGAAGGGATAGGAATTGGATAATGAATAACTCTAATGCCTTAGGGTGTAATTGAAGGAAAAAAAATGTGATTTAGGGCGTGAATATGTTCCGAGATTGGCCTAATGAACCATAGGTTTTGTGCCTTTATCGTAAGACCTTAGGGATGATTTAGGGATGTTTTGGGGGTATTGAGGAAGTGAATTGTAGAGCCTTTTGAGTGATTTCAGGTTCTGGTGCGTAGCAGAATTTACTGTCATCGCACAGTTCGCCTAGCGAAGAAAGCTTCGCCTAGCGAACCATGTAGTTCCTAGACTCGCCTAGCGAACATGCCAACGAACGTAGCAGAGTTTCGCGAATCTTGATCGTGTGCAGCGATGCCTTGATGTTTGATTCTGTGATTTCTGTGATGAATTAACATGCATATGACAGTGGGTTTTACATGATGACATGATGATTTATATGATGTATTATGATGATATTACCATGATTTTGATGAATTATATGATGACATGTGATTATGATGATGATTATGATGATGATGGTTATGATGAATGATGATGCACAGAGTCTTCTGATGAGTTGCTTCTGACGCTCAGAGCCTAGCGTTGAATAATGTATAGATGCATTTTTGCTTCTAGATGAATATGTAATTTAATATCTGAAACAAAAATACTAAACAATATTAGAGTATATATTTACTTAATACAAAATTTCATTAGTGTTATCATCAAAACATAGAGATATAACTAAGAACCAATCTATGTTCTAACAAACAATACTTATGATTATGAAATGCTATATTCACATGGTTATGTTGCCATATTAGTTGGATGTTGTGATGCTGATTGGGCAGGCAGCACTGATGATAGGAAAAACACCTCTGATGGATGTTTCTTCTTGGGAAACAACCTTATCTCTTGGTTCAGTAAGACGCAAAATTGTGTGTCCCTATCCACTGCTGAGGTTGAGTATATTGCAGCAGGAAGCAGTTGCTCTCAGCTACTTTGGATGAAGCAGATCTTGAAAGAGTACAATATCAAGCAAGATCTCATGACATTGTACTGCGACAACTTGAGTGTTATCAAAATATCCAAGAATCCTGTTGAACATAATAGGATAAACAATATTGACATTCGTCATCACTTTATTAGAGATCTTATTGAAGAAAAAGTGACCAGTCTTGAACATGTAGCCACTGAGAAGCAACTGGCTGATATTTTCACTAATGCTTTGGATGCAAACCAATTTGAGAAATTAAGAGGAGAACTCAGAATTTTCATTGTTGAAGAACTATAGCAATTAGCCTTCATCATGCAGGATACAATGGATATAAGAACAATATTGTCAAGTTTGTGGCTAAAAAGGTGGAGTAGTAGTGGTGATAATAATGTTGATACTGTGAGAAGGAGAAAGTCTCAAAATGTGAATTACAGACATGATTATGTTAGTCTTATAGTTTCTTGTGTGTTTTATAGAGGTCTGTGTTGGTGGTGCTTGGAATGCATTATTCTCTGCAGTTGGTTGTGGTGTTCAGGGGGAATGTGTTTATGCCCGTGTTTAGTTTTCTTGATGTTTGATTCTATTGTATGAAGTTGCATGAGTTCATGTTCATGTGTTTTTTTTCTTGTGATTTGTGTTTTCCCCTTTAGGGGGAGTATTGGTTATTTGTGACATAGGAAACTATGTACCTGTCCGATCTGAAGCTGCAAGGGTGCAATTTGTATAAAGCTTACATGTTCTCGTGTAGCTTGTATTGTTGTGTGATATCAAACCTGATGTCTTGACATTATGTTGTCAGGTGTACTCTTTTGGTTTGATAACATT